ATACCTACAGAATTAATTATTCGTGAACTAGTTGTGACAGCACTATGCTGGACCACAGTGACGAGATGGTGTCAGAACATCACAGGCAGCCAGGCTACATACACTCCAAGCACTGAATTCTGAGGGAGGCAGAGACCTCACATTTTTAATAAAGACCATTGAATGTGGTATAAAAGTGGATTACACTTTTAATTTTTTTTTGGTCATTAAATGTGTGACCTATATGAATTATTTAATCATTACAGGGCTTAGTTTTTCTGAAGTCAGAATAATGATTTGGGAGCAGGTTATCTTCCGAGTTCCTACCAGCTTCTAATTTCCAGATTCACCAGTCTACAATTTGATCTGTGGACTCTTGAATGTAGTGCTGCCATCGTGTGGTAGGAACAGTGATAGTTTTGCACATTTTAGTAAAACAGAGGAGAAAAACCAATGGAGCAAACTAATTGAAGACAGATGTGCAAAGAGACACTACCAGATTTAATTAAGGTTAGCCACAGTGGAGTAATAAAACACAATGATGTCTAACCATCTAATAGCCAAAGAGAATGAAGAGGTCAAAGGATAATTTAAAATAGATTACATTGCCTCACAGAAGACAAAATTTGTTTACCTGCAGTGCCCCCTCAATAATTGAGTCTCAAAAATGATCAACATTCTAAGATTGATTTTTCTAGGGTACAGGGATCCCCTCTATAGTAGCAAGCACAATTCATTAAATATGTACATCAACCACTCTTTCCTCTAGTTGGTACTTGATTGCACAATTAAAATTTCAAAAAGAAAATAGACCAAAAAATAGACACCAAAATAGACACCAAAAAATGCAGCTCAAAAAAGGCTCAAAATGTATTTTATTATTTTTAAAAACATCAATTCTATAAAATAATCATTTTTCATATATAATATGCAGGTCATAATACGTTCATGCATAGTAGGTGTATGCTCAGACTTTGATTAATCAAATTGAAAAAAGGCAGAGGTAGAATATTTTTAAATTATTAACTTTGAAATCATAAAACTATGGAAGATCATATTCAGTGTTAATATTTTAAAATTTTGTGTCCTTCATGGAAAATAAAAAGACATATTACAATCAAAACCCAGGCTCTCCAACTGCCTATACGCCAAGATGGACGAGGAACATAAATTCTAGCACTTGAAATAGCAATAGCTTCCACACAGTTACTATACACATTATTTTGTGTCACTATAATTTGAATATATGTGTGTATGTGAATATTTATGTGTACATGTATATACACATATGTATTTATTTATTCATGGTGTATTATGAGCTTTTTGTAGCACATATACCTTTACAAGTGTCAGAGCATTATCACTAAATATTTTCTCCAATCAAACCAGTTTTTGAGAATACTGGGATAAAAACCCAGACTTGGATTAAAAAGTGAAATCTTACCTAATAAATAATTCAGATGTCTTAGTTGTTGGTTTAGGTAAGGAAGTATTAATGTCATGTTATTTATGTATTTATTCATTGAATAATGCTTCCAGAACAAGATTGAAGGAGGTTGCCAAGAGCAAATGCAGACTCTGCTTACAATAATGTAACATTGATGTAAAACTATAACCAAAAGTGGAAAGTGATAATTTTCCATAAATGATACACATATCATATGCTATGCAGGGTCCAAAGTTAGAAGAGGCCATTCTGATAGGGAAGACAAATAAAATATAATTTTAAGTTAGATACAAGAAAGTGGTTGGATAGGGGAGGAGGACATAACAAATGTGGAAAGTATCAGAGAGAGAGAGAGAGAGAGAGAGAACCAGAGTTAATGATGTAAGTGGGCTATAATGTGTATGTATGTATGTATGTGTGTGTGTGTGTGTGTGTATATATATATATATATATATATATATATATATATAGAGAGAGAGAGAGAGAGAGAGAGAGAGAGAGAGAGAGAGAATTGTGGGTGATAAATTTAGAAAGAAAAAGACCACTAAATAATTTTGAGAAGCAAACTAAAGAATTTAGCTGAAATATTTAGATGTCCTGAAATTACACTAGATCTAGCCTCATTTATAAGTCCAAAAGAACATTTTCATTAAAAAGTTTACACTAACACAGATTAAGTGGAATTTATTAAAATTGATGTGTTTTTTTGTTTTGTTTTGTTTTTACCTAGGGGTTGTTTCAAGAGAAATGAGAAAATACATGTGTTCTTTCAAGTATCTGAAAAAGAACTATTTAAATACTTGAATATTTAGCAACAACTTATCAAACCCTTGCACTCTCATGTTTTATAGCATTTTATGCTATGTAGGCATAGCCTGATTTAAAAAAAGGCTCATTCTGTATTTTTATTTAATTCTCAGAAACTCACTAAATGTTAGGTTGTCTGTATCTATACTATACTTACTAAGTGAAGAAAAATTCAATAAGGTACAAGATGTTTGCTTAAATTAATGCCAAACATCTAGATTTATTTGAATTAGTCACCTGACTTCTCATAATTTCTGTAGACTTGATGTTAAATGCAATCTTGTTTTGCAGAAATGCTAGATAGACTTGTTCCATTATTTGCATCACTGTGTTTGATTTTCTTTTTATATTGTTCTAAAATATTATTTGTTTGCATTTAAAATCATGAAGGCATTTGCACAAGCTTTCCAAATGACATTTCTGTTGAATGAGATAGGCAAGATGAAACGAAAACAAAAAACAACCTTCCCTTCAATTTACCTCTAGTGCTGTTTCTTTCTTCTTATGATGATACTTAACATTCTATATATATTTCTCATATTTCCCAGAACAAGAATAGAACTGGAAATTGCATCAGATTAAACCAATGTTAACAAAAGAGTATTCTGAAATGTAAATAATAAGGTATTATTTCCATAAGGTGACTATTCTGATGCATTGTGAGTTTGCCCTTAGATGAAAATTGTTTTAATTTAGTAAAGATAAATTGGTTATAATTAATGTCTATTAAGATTGTCTTTGAAAATAGTATATTGAGTTTTTTCTTTTGCTTGATAAAATCAATGTTTTTCATTTAATCTCATACTATAAAATATTAACAATCTAGTTGGCTAGATTATATAATACCAATCAAAAAGCATGACAGCTTTCCTTTACAATCAATTGACATCTTCTCTGATTCATCATGTGGTTTATTATGCAATTTTATTTAATTCACACATGTTCATAATTTTATATCCTAGTCATATTACCTTCACATTTTAAAAATTATCCTTTAAAATATTTTCTTTAACACTAAATACACTATCTGGGTTTCTTCTATACAAAGTTGTAGAAAATATTATACAAATGTTGTAACAATTCTTTTTCTGCAATTCTAGTCCTATGGTGATTAGTAATTCATTGCAGACCAGCTATTCAGACCTTTTTTTTTATATAGCTGTTCCCAACTTATAAATACCTAATATAAAATTAACACATTACTATTTTTTTTCTTATTTCCCTATTGGGGGAGGGGTACTACGGTCACTGGAACAGATGTGAAAATTCCTGGTGTTTTTAGATAATCTGATATTGGTGAATTGGAAGAAGGGAGGATGTGGGTAAAAAGCTAAATCTTTGGCGAGACCTGATGGTGGATATCCTGTCCTCAAATGGTTTCCCACAAAATATCCATACTTTTTCATTTCGTTTAGTTATTTTAGTTATTTAGTTCAAAATCCCCCAGATTAAGAATCATTGTGACTTTATCATTTCCCTTATGAAACACATAGATATGTTGGATCATGAAATAATTAAAAATCAACTCTTCCCCAGTACAACAAATCCAGTCTACTAGCTAAGAGACTCCTAATGGAACAGGGATGTAATTTTGTAGCTTAGAACACATCTAAATGTGGAAGAGAATCAAGATAAATTTATTGTCAATGATTGTGTAAGTTCAAAGACACAGCCATTGGGGTAAATGCCTGAAGAAGAGAAGAGGGTATGGTGGGGTACAGCAAGTAATAGAAGAGGAAGCAGAGTGAGTCACTGGGCTCACTCCTCATAATCTGAGTCTTAGAAAGTAGGCATTACTGACCCCATGGTTTTCAAATGAGTAATCTCAGAGTTAATACAGAGTGGGTTGGGATTCAAAACTGGATCAGGTTTTGAATGCTCTTTGGCAAAATACAAATATCAACAATTTTTAAAAACTTGCTAGGAAAATTTCTCTCCCAGAAAATAGGAGGAAACACAGGCCTTATCTTTCTTCTTTCTGCATAGAAATTTCTTCCCAAATCTCCTTTGAATCTATAACTCCGCTAACAATATTAATACCATACCCCAACTACATAAAATACCACAAATGAACATGTTTCTATGGGAATGTAAATTCACATATCCAAAGTCAAAATTATGAAACTTTTGAAACACGTTCCAATCATAAATATCTAAGGAGAAACAATTATCTTTAAATTTTAAAATCCCCCTGGAGATTGTTGGTAGAACCATATACAAAACAAGCACAGAATTTTCAAACTCTTTTTTAAATTATCTATTCTGTTTTGCATCTTTACTTCTGAGGAGAAAAACAGATTATTAGTTATTAATATATAACTAATAAATTTTAACAACTTCTTGTATTCTGCTATTTGTAACTAAAGAAGTTTTCTTAAATCATTTTCTCCATGAAATAGCCCAAATTCTTGTTTGCCATATCACTACTATTACACTGCTCAAATCACAAAAATAATGCTAGCAGAATAATTACATACTATTTAACTCTGTCTAAAATATGAAATGGGCTTTCCCTAAAAGTAATTGTGTTAATGTGCAATTAAAAAACAAAAAAGCAAAGTAATTTAGTGTTGCCCCTGCTCATTACTGGCTAAGGAAGTGAAGATGAAAGTTAGCCTGGGGAATGTAGGGTCCTTGCTACAGCTTTTTCTTTATACACGTAAACAAACGTATAATTAAAACGTAAGCAAACGTATAATTATACATTTGAAGATTAAAGTGAGCTTCACTTATTGACTGTGGTGTTGACTCTTCCCACATCATGCAGCAAAGCCTACCAATCACCGGCCTGCAGAAAGCTCCGTGTCTACCGGCTCCTCAGGCAGCAGCTTTGGCAGTGGGTATAGCGTGGACAGTGAAGGAAGCAGCAGCACTGCAGGGGAGACTAATCTATTTCCTATTCCAAGGATGTAAGTGGTTCTTTATTTTACTAGAAAGTTAACAGCATCATGACTAAGACATTCTTAACATTTAACAGGGAATAAGTAGATAATTAACCAATTTGGAATCATTGTCCCATAAATGATTTGTTTATGCCTACATAAAAATAGATTTTTCAGGAGAGACTAGATTAATTCATTTAATGCTAAGGATGAATGCTAGTCACTAGCAGCATTACTTAATCAGTGCAGTCTTTAATACAAAAACTGCTAAAATAATAATTCAGCCATGCTAGACTAAAATTCACCAGCACTACATTTGTATTTTAATCACATAATGACCAAATTCAAATATTATTTGAGATAAACATAGGGTAACTTAATTTGATTCAAGACAGATTTAAACATATTCAAAGGACACATATCATCTTTGAAATAGATGACCCATTGGGTTAATCATATAACTTTCCAACTGTAAAACTCTCTATAATTAAAATTGAAAGCTCTGAAGTGTTTTCATATTTTCTAGAATATATCAATTTGTATATAGGTCCCTGAGTAACTACTCCCAGAAAAGCTCATTCATAATATGTTAAGCTTCAAGAATATCATCCTGCAAATCACATGTAAAACTCAAGCAGCTTGTATTTAGAATGTGTTAGAATAGATTTAGTCCTATTGGTGGCAAAATTTAGCAGCATTCAAGATAAATATGTAGATAATGTCTGTTCCAGCATCAAAATCTAAACCCCAGACCTTTCCTTCTCCTCTCAATTTACATAGTCTTGTGGATTTTCAAAACACCACTGGACCATACAGATCTCAGAATCTAGGCCACTGGGTTAATAAAGACTTTTGCCTAGTTTTGTAAGGCCTAAGAGCTAAAATGGTTCTTGAATTTTAAAATGCTTTTTAAAAACAAATAAAAAGTTTTTTAGGACATCTGAAAATCATATGAAGTCGAGATGAACACAAACTAAGTTGTATTGGACACAGCCATGACCATTACTTATGTGCTGCCAGATGCTGCTCTTGTGCTTTACCAAGGCAAAATCCAGTAGTTGCAACAGAGACCACCCAAAATGTTTACTATCTGGCCTTTTAGAGAGTTTGCCAACCCTGATCAGGGCTGTTATTAAAGACTCTTCATTTTCTCCAGTGCTGAGGGAAATCTCTCAGAGAGTGGAATTTCTACTTATTTTAATATCCAAGGGTTTTATAAATATTTCTTTTTTATCTCCAGAATAATTCTAATAGATAATTGTTCAGTTTACAAAACTAAAATAATAGGGAAAGCAGATTATTATCACAATGAATAACATGTTTGATTTGTAGTGGTCAAGTTACATTTTTCCCAACTTGAATTAAGCAATTTTTTATTGTATCACCTGTCCATATGAGGGGTTTTGTGTTTGTTTTTGACACTAAGGCTATGGATTTAATAGAATTGTTTTATTTTATTGGAAGTTATTCCTAAAAGGAATTTGATCTTATTAGTCCTTGGCTTCTGATAATCCATTTTAAATTTTTAAAAATTCAGCAAATTCATTACATTTCTCTCTAAACTATATCATGTAAAGATTTTGTAATTAATTTTATATCCTTCCAATTTATTTGGACCCTTCAAAATATATACTTTAACATTGATAATAAAGTTGACTTACAGAGAGTAAATGATGTAATTCCATCAATATTGAATGTGTGAAGTGAGATTATGTATTTTTTACATACATACCATATGACAATTTGGTTTTTGTGCCCCCCACCCTGTTTTCTGTTTCTCTTGTAAATCAAGAAGAGGCTTTTATTTAACTGTTTGGGAGAGTATTGTTTTGCAATATTAGCACAAAGAAAATTCACTATTTAAAAATATTATATGATATGTATAAGAAATACTATTTGTTAGTTCTATTATATGCCCCATTGTGTCTAATAAAATTACTGCTTGGGCTGATGTAAATGTTCAATTAATATTTGGTGATTGAAATATATAAATTACAAAAAACATACAGTCAAAATGTGCTGAGCTGAAAATAGTTTACTGAGAATTTAGAAAAATCACATTCTTCACACACCCACAGTTGCATTTCCTCTATTCTTCACTAGCTTTGCTGTGCTGCAGATTTTCTGTATAATCTTTAAAACTGAGTAACTATGCATTTTGGCTAAGTATCTTACGTTTAAATTGGTTTTCATTAGCAACAAAACTGTTGCCAGATTTTAAAATGTGAAATCTAGGACTACAACAAATATAAAATTATCAAAACTTTATTTCAATTACAATTACTAAAATTTGTAATAATTTTTTAAAGCTTGTCAAAGTATACAGATAGTAATTTTTCAATACTGTGCTCTGCTAGATTGGTAATACTAAAAGATCTTCATTTTCAACTGAATTTGATGACTCAGTAACAAGATGATTTGGCTCTTTCTACCAGTGTAGTATACTGCTAAAGAGAACATTACTGCTAGGTTATTAAGCTTTTCTTCCTAATGGTAATAGAAAGCAGAGTTCACTTTTTTATCTTAACTACCTGAATTTCAATGAAGCAATTACATGAATTGCAGTTTTATGCATTGCTCAAACAACACTATATGTTCGCATGCAAACCATATATATATATATATATATACACACACACACACACACACAAACACACATAAGTGTTAGAAATTACTTAATTTGCATGCACTTGGTCTTCACATAATCTCTTAACACAAATATGTGTTTAAATCTTCAACCTTGAATTGGCACAATGGAACAATATAGTGGTTACCAAGATAAAATTATTCTTAAATTTACATCAGTTCCTCTTTTATGATGTGCAAAAATATTTCAGCATCTTCTCTGAAGTAGAATGATAAGAGGATCTTTAGAGCATTTTTCAAGTGAGATATAATTGGATTCTTAAAAAAATATGTATAGTTACATTTTTCAACAGGTTCAACAAACTAGACACTTTTTGAGTAAATCAGAATTGTTAGCAAATCCTGATATGTTAAAATTACTGTCTAGAAAGTAAAATACCATGGCATTCTTTTGTTCAGCCAGCTTTTTTTTGAGGATTTAAGAGACTTAATTTTATTTTTAATGTCTTATCAAAGTACACATGCAAGCAATCTCAAAATCTTTTATATGCCATGGAGTCTTTACTCTGGCTGAAGCAATAAGAAGTTGCCTACAGTCTTTTGGCTGTTACATTATCTGCATACTAAACTCAGTTTTGAAAATAACATGAACTCATTATATAAGTGGCTTTCCCAAAATTTGAGGCTGAAAGTTAAAATGAGTGACAGATTGTAATGGAAGTCTAAGGCTACCATGTATATATATATATATATATCACTATTAATACAGTGTACTTATTAAATGCTTATAATTTCTCAGGCACTGTGTTAAACCCTTCATATATATTTGCCATTTGCCACCTCTATCAAAAGGTTGCTGATATGGCTATTATCATATTATAAAAGAAAAACAATCTTGACCAAGTACTTTGCCTTAGATTCCACATAGTAAGAAAGAGCAAAGTCAGAAGCTGAATTCAAAAGGCAGTTTGCTCAGCACAGTCTGAAAACAGAGGAAGAATCTGAAAAGAAATTATATGTGTGTGTGTGTGTGTGTGTATATATATATATATATATATATATACATTTATTTATATATGCATTATATATCTCTTCTTAGAAGTGTCTCCTCAGGTCCTTGGCCCATTTATTGATTGGGTTATTTGTTTTGTTTTTTTTTGGTGTTTAGCTTTTTGAGTTCTTTATATACCCTAGAGATTAGTGTTCTATCTGATGTGTGAGGGATAAAAATTTGCTCCCAAGTTGTAGGCTCTCTGTTTACCTCACAGATTGTTTCTTTTGCTGAGAAGAAACTTTTTAGTTTGAATCCATCCCATTTATTGATTCTTTATTTTAATTCTTGCACCAAAGGAGTCTTATTAAGGAACTTGTGGCCTAATCTGACATGATGAATTTTAGGGCCTACTTTTTCTTCTATTAGACACAGGGTCTCTGGTTTAATTCCTCCTTTATCCACTTTGAGTTGAGTTTTGTGCATGGTGAGAGGTATAATTTCATTTTGTTGCATATGGATTTCCCATTTTCCCAGGACCATTTGTTGAAGAGGCTATCTTTTCTCCAATGTACGTTTTTGGCACCTTTGTCTAATATAAGATAATTGTAATTTTGTGGGTTAGTCTCTATGTCCTCTATTATTCTCAGAAGAGGATATATAATCAATCAACAAATATATGAAAAAATGTTCATCATCTCTAGCAATTAGAGAAATGCAAATGAAAACTACTCTAAGATTTCATCTCACTCCTATCAGAATGACAGCTATTATGCATACAAATAACAATAAGTGTTGGCAAGGATGTGAGGAAAAAGGTACACTTATACACTGCTGGTGGGACTGCAAAATGGTGCAGCCAATATGGAAAGTATATGGAGATTCCTTGGAAAACTGGGAATGGAACCACCATTTAACCCAGCTACCACTCTCCTTGGTCTATACCCAAAGGAATTAAAAACAGCATGCTACAGGCACAGAGCTACATGAATGTTTATAGCAGCACAATTCACAATAGCTAAACGGTGGAACCAACCTAGGTGCCTTTCAATAGATGAATGGATAAAAAAAAATGTGGCATATATACACAGTGGAATATTACTCAGCAATAAAAGAGAATAAAATCATGGCATTTGCAGGTAAATAGATGGAGTCAGAGAAGATATGCTAAGTGAAGTTACCCAACCCCCCCCAAAAAAAAAAAAAACAAATGCTGAGTGTTTTCTCTGATATAAGGGGGCTGATTCATAGTGGGGTAGGGAGAGGAGTCATGGAAGGAATAGACAAACTCTAGATAGGGCAGAGGGGTAGGAGGAGAAGGGAGGGGGCATGCGGGTAGGAAAGACAGTGGAATGAGGTGTACATCATTACTCTAAGTACATGTATGAAGACATGAAAAGTGTGACTCTACATTGTGTACAACCAGAGATATGAAAAATTATATTCTATATGTGTAATATGAACTGTAATGCATTCTTCTGACATATATAAAAAATTATTAAATAATTTTTTAAAATATGCATATATAAACAATTTTAGGCAGTCTTTATTTTTAATTTATACATAAAAATTGTACATTTTTGTGTAGTATCATGTGATTCCAATATATATGGAAACCCCTTTTCTAGGTTTTTTGAAATACTAACCATGCTATCATTATCTGTATTCACCCTAGTATGCAATAACACACAATAAAACTCAGTACTCTTTGACAGAACTATTTCATACTCTTCCTTCCCCTTTCTCTCCTGGGTCTTTTGTACCCACCATTCTACTATCAATTTCTCTGATATCAACATTTTTTTGGAATCCACATATGAGGTGATCATGCAGAAATTGTCTCTGTGTTTGATTCATTTCACTTAGCATAATGATTTTTTTAGAATTTTATTTATATATGACAGTGGAACTCATTACAATTCTTATTACACATATTTTTAATATCTCTGGTTGTATACAAAGTATATTCACACCAATTCATATCTTTATACATGTACTTTGGATAATGATGAACATAACGATTTTTAATATGATCCGTGTTGTTGCAAATCACAGAATTTCATTTTTTTATGACTGAATGGTATTTCATTGTGTACATGTACCATATTTTCAATTCAGTTGATAGAGTTTGACACTGCCATTTCTTGGCTATTGTGAATAGTTGTGCAGTAAATATGGGTGTGCATGTTTTCAATCTACTTTCAATGTACAATGTACAATTTCATTCCCTTTGGATATATACCCAGTAGGAGAATTATGGAATCATATGGCAGTTCTACTTTGGATTTGTGAGGAACCTCCATACTATTTTCCTTAATGGATAATAGCAATGGCTACACCCAGCAACAGTGAAAGGGTGCTCTCTTCACATCCTTGCCAGGATTTGTCAAGCCACTCTTACTAGAGTGAGGTGGTATCTCATTGGGACTTTGATTTGCACTTCTCTGATAACTAGTGACATTGAACATTTTGCCCTGTACATGTTGGTCACTTATACATCTTTCTTTAAGAAATATCTATTTAGGTTATAGTATTCATTCCAAAGCTTATTTCATTGAGTATTTCCCTTCTCACAAAATAATCTATAACAAATCATTATTTCAAAGTATAAGGTTATAAAATCTTCTTGAGTTAAAATGAAAAACAATTGTAATGTTTGAAGAGATGGACATGTTTGACCTGGTGCAGACTTTGTGCATATATACATTCAAAAGATATCACATGGTTTCTCATTCATAAGAGCAATTTTATGATTTTATGTATCAGTTAAGTGAATAATTTTTAAATGGGAAAATTATAAAACAAAATTGAAAAATGTAATGATGGTCTGATTTTTTGATAAATGAAACTCATTGAATTTCAAGATATTGTTTTGACTAAATAGGAACAATAAACAAGTTCCCATTCTAAAATTAACATGATATTTGCCATTTACGTATTAATATATTTGCCTTTCAAATTATTCATTGCAGGTCTGAATACACAATGTTATTTTTTTTTATATATACACAACTTCCTCCTTTTCATCCAGGGGATCATAACTAAATATATCATTCTGATTTTTTTTACAAAAGAGGGAAGATGGGACAGAATGGACAAGAGCCTGTAAAACAGCCAGGAGTGGGCGTAGGACTAGCCGATACTGAAGGTAAGTTAAATTTACAATACTAAATTTTGGTTGAACTTACATATTGTATTAAAAAATTTTTGCTTTTAATGTGAATAAAATATCTAAGGATGAATTATAAAAGCACAAGGTAATGAATCACTATTAACCATTAAATAAGAATGACTTTGTATTCATTTAACAATTTGCCCCTTTATTTACTTACCTTAGGGTACTGAAAAAATTTAAAGCCTATGGGAAAAATTAAAATAGAAAGAACATAAAGGGTGACAACAAAGATTCAGAAGATTTTCTCAAGGAAAAAATATCTTACTTAAATTTTTAAAAATTTTAATAAGTAGAAAATTAATTTTAACAACTAGAGAATTAATCATAAAACCTCACTGAAGCCATGGGAGTTTTTAAATAAAGGAAGCTGAGATGAAACAAATAGTATAAAAATCATTTTATAAAGAAATTAATTATTTGAACTAACTTCTAAAGTAATAGTCAAATTTAAAATTCAGTTTGAAATTCAACAAATAGGGCTGGGGATGTGGCTCAAGTGGTAGCGCGCTCGCCTGGCATGCGTGCGGCCCGGGTTCGATCCTCAGCACCACATACAAACAAAGATGTTGTGTCCGCCAAAAACTAAAAAATAAATATTTAAAAAATTCTCTCTCTCTCTCTTTAAAAAAAGAAATTCAACAAATAGCAAATTATTTCAACATGCAAAAATAAAATTTTTAGCATCAGCAAACACATAATAATAATATGAGCTCAACAATGATTACCTTATCTTTTATAACATTGTGATTAAATCTGGGAGCTCTGAAACCTTTATGAATTTCACCAAAGGCTCAATAATTTTAACTATTCTAAATGTTGTACACTATCCTAAGTACCTTTCATCTATTATGTCATTTAATTTTTAGAATACCTGTGAGGTAAGTAATAGTTTATATTGGCTTTACATGAAAGGAAACAAAACTACAAAGAGCATACAAAGTCCAAACAAGTGAGTTGAACCCAGGAAAACAGCACAAACATCACACTATTAAAATGACTGATTATGGGCATGGAATCACAATGTTACTAGAAAGGAACGACAAGACTTAGGTTTCAATTCTGGTCTGAATTGTGATGTGATTTATCTGCTTTCAGAAACCTTATCTGACAAATTCTGGGTCTATATGATATTTGTTTCCCATGGATTCAAGAGAATGCCCCATTTTTCTGGTTCTACTCAATCATTCTTAGACTCAATGAAAAATCTGTGCTTCCTCTACCTCCTGCCACCTCTGCCAGAGTTCCATCCTTAATCCACCAACCCTTTTACCTAACTTCTCACATGAACTCATTCCCTCTCCTATGGGTAGTTTAATCCCAAATCTAGTGCCCAAATTTTCCAGAATTCAGACTCAGTCAGGCATTTGTGTCCAACCAGAAAAATAGAAACCACTCTTGACTGTTTCAAGTAGAAGAAATGCAGGGCTGCAATTGATTACACACTCATAAAAGAACCTGAGAAAACATAGAGGGGACAGTGAGGCAGCAGAAGGAGGCTACTCTTCTTGTAGGGTCAAGGATAGTAAGAGGTAAAACCAGGACAAGCTTGTTGCTAGGAACAGGAGACAAGGAAGAGACATAGCAAACACCAGAAATATATCCTGAGATGAATTAATTTGAGAAGAAAGACACTGGTTTCCAACTTCCTCCCAATCTCTGCCAGTGCCTGATCAAACCCAGTTGGAAGCCAGGTAACAGGAGACCTGGGAAAGAGCCTATGTGACAGCTACTCTGAGAGGGGTGCAAGAGAAAGACTAAAGAATATATCTGAGAGCATAGAAGCATAGGGACAGCAGAGGATTCTGAGGATCCCATAGATGCATTGCCGCAGTCTGGCTGGGCACAAATGCCGCAGTCTGGCTGGGCACACAATCACGAGCCACCACACAGCTTGTAGATTCAAACAGCAACTCTTTATTCCCGAACTCACACCAGCCGTCTACAATCACGTTCTGGGGAAATCCACGTTCTCTGCCCAAATTCCCCTCCACTGGGCTTCTATCTCCAAAATATATTGTCTAAATCCCGTGAGAACTCAAGGGGAACTCAGGCAGCAGGATACGCCCTATTCCCAGCAGGAATAATCTTAAACCTTAAACCTGGAACCTAAACCGGGAACGCCCTAAACACGATTATCTTAAAACCGGGAACACCCTAATCTGCCTTGGTCCTTGAGCAAGGTCACTTACATTCAATGTCACTGCAACATGTCAGCAACATGGGGTACGCTGGCAAGGAAATTGTCATACCTACTTGGCTAATGGCTCCCAGCAATGCATCAAGCAACATATTCCCTGGTCTGAGTTCACCTTCCCCCCATTTTGTCTCCTTTTCTTTCTATGCTCTTCTATAGCTCACAAAATTTGCACTTATTTTCACCAGAATTCGCATAATTTATACTGTTTTTTTTTTACTTAAATTACCTGTATTCATGCTCATCTCCTCCATAAGAACTGAACAACTTTCAAAACAGAAATATGTTTATTCATCCTGGTATCACAGCACTTGGCAGAAAATCTTGTCCATAGAGTTGCTTAAAGAGGCATGTGGAGAGCTGGGGATATAGCTCAGTTGGTACAGTGCTTATCCATCCTGGCTAGGACCCTGGGTTTCATCACCAGTAACACACACACACACACACACACACACACACACACGTTATTGAATGAACGAATAATTAGAATGAATGATTATACATAAAACTCATGGCTTTTGGTTTCCTATGACTCTAAACTTCAGGTATAAAGAGAAGAAATCAATGGGTAGCTTTAATACCACTCCCCACACCCTCTTCCCCCAAGGTCCTAAGGGTTGAACCCAGGGCCCACTATACACTAGGCAGATCCTCTATGAATTACATCCCTGGTCCTCATGTGTGGTTTTAGCTACTTTGTTTTGACACTCTTTTAACCTCAAAGTTTATAAATACAATTATTTTAGTTTTCAGCAGCTAGCTGTCAATGAATAGATACTGTTAATCGTAGTATTGCTTTCTTTCCCCCTATCAGTCCCACATAAAACGTGTTTGTTTTTTAAGAAGGAGCCAATAAGGGGCTACTTTATTTTGCTTCAAACCTATGAGTCAGTGTATTTATACTTTAGTGAACTGACCCTGACCAACTGTTGATCCCAGATTCGTTATTGAGCAGAGGATTGGGGGTTGAGGATAGGAACAACATGGAATATGTGATATAATGTGAGTCATTTACAGTCATGTGCCTTTTTGGTAGCAATATTCCAGACAACTTGTTTTTGACTTAGTTATACCCAACATTAAACAATAACCAAATTTCTAACTTAAATGTCTATGTGAAGCTGGGCTATAAGAGATATATAAAAGACAGTTAATAGTATGCAATAAATATTAAACTCTTTTTAGAAATAACTTAATTAGAAAGAATATATTGACAGAGTAAGGAAAAGCTATTTAACATATTTGTTCTAAGCAGATAGTAGAAAACATCAAATTAAAGTGCAAGATTTTGATTTGTCCATGTAGAAATATGGAATCAACTTTGTGTTGTACTTTAGGCATATAGATAGCTTTTATTTTATTTTATTTGTTTTTGTGATCCAGAGACTTACCTTCACTTCCTTTTGTTGTCAGTTAACATAAAGAATTTAATAGGACAACAAAGAAGCAAAAAGGAATCAATGTAAATTGTTTTAGAAATATTCACTTACCTAATTGTGTTTTTACTCCTTATAATTCTTGACCTGGGTATTAGAAAAACAGTGTCTCTTATAAATAAGGCATTTTTCTGAAAATAAAAAAAAAATGTTTGTAATGCTCTACTTCATTTTGAAATTTCATATTATTCATCTAAGCATTTTGTTTTATGAGTACTTTGGCCTATTCTAAAAGAATTGACCTACAAAAACTTCTCTAAGACAATGTACATGAATGTGTAACATAAATGTATCATACACTTATATCAAAAGATGTCATGGATTTTAGGTAATCACCATTAAACAGTTTCTTCTCATAAAATTTTTATTTCTGTTTTGGCATTACAATGTATAGAATGCAAAAGTAATGTTTATGGTGTTGAAATTTTCTGTTGAGAATGATATTGAGACTTTTTTTTATACTCAATAGCCATGCCCTTCTTCACTTATTAAACAAGCATATTTATGCTGGCTTCTGATATTAATGTGTCACTTAGTTATTTTCTCTAATAATGTTTCATCTTCCTTATAGCAGTAACTCATAAATTTTAATCTCAGCATGAGATTAATTCAGTGGGTCAGAATGTGAGATCTATTAAGTTTTGGACTCTTTGTTGTACTAGAAAATGATAATAGTTTGTTGGACTATCTCTGCTAATGATTGGTTGAATGTCCATGACTTAATGTAAAACGCAAATGAGCACTGTGTTTGGCACATGGTTAACACCTTTAAGTTGTGATAGAGGATTTGAGACAGGGACATTGGATCCCATCCAAACCAGTAAGAATATTCAAGATTGATCAAATGTCATGCACTTATTGAGAAAGATGCTCAAGATTACTTCTCTTCAAGATTTAGATCAAACCAATTAGCTTTTCTAATTGTAAAGATGAGTTTTTCCCCAATTTATGTTAAGGTTTCTAATTATACCCTTAAGATGGGCCATCTAGCCCTTCTCTGCATTTTTTCATTAGTTAGATGTATTTAATAGGGTTATTCTTTGCCAGCAGGCATCCATGTAGTAAATGCTTTGATATAATTATTCTCCTAAGCTTGGTGTTTGAAACTTTAGCAAGCATTATAATCCCAACTTTGTATGAGACTTAATTTTCTTGGCTATATATATTTACAGATAAAATAGCCCTAATAAATCATTAATTTTCGTAAGTATCTTTGGAAGCTTGAAGTTAGTTTCAGTGAGAATGGAAATTCAGTTTGCATTCTCAATGGGCCAGAACAAATAAACCTCTACCATCACAGAAATATACAAAGCTATACTTTCAAATATTTTCAGATAATTGAG